GCAGGTCCATTATGTCTAGCCTTCCCTGTCCACTACATCACTTCCGCACTCAGGCGTTGGGATTTCCCCTTTTCCCTTTCCATTCCTTCTCTGCCCCGTCCACCCCCCGCCCCAGTGATGAGGCATGGTCATCGCACGTAATCAACCCTTTGGTACGGCGAGGCACACTCCATCAAACTTTGGCAGCTCACATAGTGTGGATGTTGTGTGTGACTTTTTTATCTGATCTCTATTATGTACAGCGGGAGAGGCCAACAGCGCTGCTGCCACGCCTACGGTTCGGGATGTTAGCGATGAGGAAGAGGAGCAGCATCACGTGGTGATTGAAATTGATGATGAAGTTCCGGTACAAGTTGGAGATGTCCAAGTGGAGGTCGATCTTGAGCTGGGAGGAGGGAGTGGGCCGCCCACTGCCACATCTGGCAAAGAGGACGAACACACACACAACGTGTAAGTGAAATGAGAGGTGACGTACTGGAATAAGCATATGCACGTGAAATGAAGCGTAAGAGGTAGATCATCTACAACAATCTAACCCATGATGGGTTTTGCTAGGGCAAGTAGTACCCTAAAGCCCAGGCAGTCTTCACTCCCGCTTCAAATCCCACTCCACGACTCAATAACAGGTTATACACCCCATTTCTCCCACACATTAGGAACTCGCACGATCATGCGATACCGATCGAGACCTCGCCCGGGCGATGGCCGGCACTCCCAACACTTGACGGACTGCGGGATGTCGTGTGTTTGCTGAGCCCAGTGCACATCATTCGGTTCTTCATGGTGGTGACGCTGCATTGCACCATGAGCGGTGGATGTGGGGGCTCGATGCGATTGCGCTCCTGGAAACTGTTGTGGGCGGCATTTGGAATGGTTTGGACCTGTGATAAGTGTGGAAAATCGACATCGCTATGGTCGGTGGATCGTCAGCCATTGGGTTGCACGACCGACAAGCCAGGAAGGAAACGTCTCCCGTTGTTACAGCGCGCTTCCTTGCGTCTTTTGCTCTAGCGGGGTTTGGGTATACTGCGCTATCGGAGGTTGGTCTCGGTATACCCATCCCATGTAAGAGAACCTTCTACAGGTACATGAGTGGGGTAGGTGGGCTATGGGAGAAGATCATAGAACATGCCAACAAAAGCATGGAGGTGGTGCGTGCCGCTATGTTAGCTCGGCGTGAGCGTGGTTTTTGGTTGTGTGTTGACGGGAGGTGGGGCCAACCACGAGAGGCGGAATGGTGTAGTGTTGCATTTATAGATCCCAGGTCACGTAAGATACTTCACTGTGTGACGGTGTCGAGATCCCTGCTAAAGGTATCGTCCACTGAGCTAGAGGGTCGGGCATTTTCTAAGGGACTAGAAGACCTGAATAATTGGGGATTTCCGGTGAAAGGTATCATCAGTGACGACGGGGCGAGTTTCAAAGCCGTAATCATTAAGACAGACCTCGAGCACCAGATGGACGTGTGGCACAAAGGTCGTTCGTTATCACGGAAGTTTGTGAAGCACTTTGTGAATGCACGAAAGGCCGCACTATCCACCAAAGACGCGAGCACTGCTGAGGATCTGTGGGATGTAAAGCTCGATGATCTCAGGGCCTGGTTGCGAGAACGTCCAGGTCATGGCTTGAAGGGTCTACATAGAGCGCCAAAAAAGGAACTGATTGGTGCTGTTTGTCGTGTTCGGGGCTGGACTTTTGTGGATCTCTCCGGCGATAGCTCGTCGTATTTGTACCCAGAGATGCGTCGTGTAGCGTATGTGCAGAGTGGGCGCAGTAGAGGTTCGACCTCCACCTCGTCTGATGCCATGTCGGTTGGTCCTGATGGATGTTGCACGGTGGAGGGTTTGTCACGGGAGGTTGTGGATGTGCCTGCTGCACAATCTCAGCACATGGAAGGCGGGGATAAACGGGTCACGAATGAAGCGTTGAAAGGGTTTGTTGCGATTGATATTTTGGATGATGGTATTACAGAGAGTACGGCGGATCCAGGAGGGGTGGATTTACAGTACTCCGACGTGAGAGAGTTGTGGGGATACGATCCACATCCAGAGCATGGAGTGCGGCCAAGCTCTGTGGTGTCGTTCTTCCTCATGCAGGTAGCTGCGTCAAACCATGCCGATGCAACTCGTGGCATGACGGGTGCCGCGACACGAACCAGCTCAACTTTGGGACCGCCAGGTGAGGCCTGAACATAGCTGGTCCTTGCAGTATTTGTGTTTTGCTTTGCTTACATCCACAGCTCTAGTTTGATGCAATACAAGGGCCTCTGCCTTGAATTACACAATACCAAAACCCCCATCCCAAATCTGTTGTTTCCTAAGGTACTAATGGTGACAGCACCACGATGGGAGGTGAGGGCAACACTGCGCCGTCCGGTGGACCACGTCGCTGGGTGAATAAGCGACCCCGCAGTGGGAAGAGGGGAGCAGACGATTCGCTTGATGAAGATGGCGAGGAGCGGAGTGGGGTAATCGAGGAGATGACGGTGGCACAGCGATTCAGCGTACACTTCCATCACGTGATGGCACGTTGTGCTACACTCTGGCGAGCAGGCAGGCCGATGTCGGCGCAGGACGTTGCTGATGAGATTGCTGTTGCAGCCGAGCATTGGGCTGGAGATCATTCACGCTGTGGGCGGGGTTCCGAGAGGCCAATATGCGTGAGAGAGAAGTGGGGTGCTGAAAGTGCATTGTATAAGCCTGGTTCGCGCACGCACCTTGCTTTCAGAAAGTGGTTGAGTGAGAACTGTGGGGCTGAAGAGATGAAACCATACGTGAGTGGGGAGTGCAATTGGATGAATGAGTCATTTCATTCATTGATTTGCAAGTACGCTCCGAAGCGCACCTTGTTTCGCGGAAGCATGCAAGCAAGGGTTGGATTGGCCGTAATGCACTGGAATCATTCTTTGGAGCGAGAGGTCCGAGCGACCAAAATCAGAATGCAGCGTGCAACTAGGGTCCGACGGGGAAAGACATCTCGGACCTTAGGCCCTATGGATTGGACCTGGGTGGACGATATAATGCGGGATTGGAACTGCATGACACTTGACCCTGTGACGAGTCCTATCGGATCCAACACCGGTGCTGCTGCTCCTTCCACTCCCCAACCACCCAACAAGCGAAGGCGTACCATCACCAACGGATCATCTGAACCTCGACGTACACTCTTTGGTAAGTCCCCCCATATGTCTCAACGCGTATTTTGGTGTATTATACATGCAAGTAGACAGTACATTTGCAATGTTGTGAGTGTGCATAATAACTGCGGTTGTAACAATTGACCTCCTTTGGGTGTTGTTTGCAGGGGACGTCTCCAACGTCATATAATAGTACCTGGTGAGCAGCATGCAACATTGGGGATTGCGCCCGTATGTGAGTTCCAGTCTCACCCATTCCATATCCATGGCCCCTGACTACCGCCCAATCGACGCCTCATATTCACGCCTCGTGGGTCGCACTACCCATCTACTCAAGTATGGATTGGTTTGAATTGCCTGCTGCATGCTGCGCCGAGCTGCACCCCTTGCTCTTTATGCGTCTGTGCAAGTGTTTCTATGCTGCTTTGGCCGATGACTACCATTCCAACGACCCCTCCTGCTCCTTCCTGGTGCGTCCCTCCCTTGCTACCCCTTTCTGCTGGGTCTGCCTTGCTGCTTGCTGCTTTCCCAATGTGGATCTGGACTCGCTGATAGGCACCTTGCCTTCCCCCCCCCACACCACTCTCATTGGCCTTGCACGGGTGTATCTGCACTCACTCGGCACAGGTCTTTCTGGTTCAAACTTCCACCGCATCCCACACCTGATTGCATTCTCACTCAAACTGTATTACATCCAGCTGCGCCGCTGGAACTTCCGAGGCTGGCTCCAAGCCAACGGACACGACCCGAACCTGCATGAGGCAACGGAGAAAAGCGGCAGGCGAGAGTGGGGAAGCGGGAAGCAGCAGGAGGGAAAGGAGTAGAGCAAAAGGAAAGATGGGGAAGATGTGAAAGGGGAGGAAGCAGGGGAGGATAGGGGAGAGTGGAAGGAGCAGGGGAAGAGAGAAGAGAGGAGGGAGAGGGAAACCAGGTGGGACATGGAGCAGTGGAGACGTTGAGGGTTCAACTGAGCATGCAGTACACTCAGGAGAAACTCGCCCTCTTGGGATTTTATGTGGGGAAGGTGAGACTTGCCCTCTTTCCTGGCCCTTCTCAGCCCGTTCCCACAAAACCAATTCCACCTCGCTTGCTTCTCTTCTCTGTGCGACCTCCCTCCCACCCCCTCTCTCCATCCCCCCCTTTCACCCTTCCACTCCTCTCCCCATCCATTCTTTCCCTTTCCCATCTTCTTCCTATCCCTCCACTCCCCATCCCCTCCTCTTCTCATCACCTCCTCTCCCTGCCCCCTCTTCTTCACATCCCCTCGTCCTCCTGTCCTCTTCCTGTCCCTTCCTTCCTCCATCCCAGCGCCCCTTCCCTCCATGTCCTCCCCTCCTCCTTCCTTATTCCTTCCTGCCACCCTTTATCATCCCCACTTTCCTCCCCAGCCTCTCTTCCTCCTCTCCCTTCTGCTTCTCTCCCCCATGTCCTCCCTACCTCCCTTCTCCCCATCATCACTACCTCCCTCCCCCATTGCATTCCTCGCTTCCATCCTTCCTCCGATCCTCCTTTCTTCATTTTTACATTCCCCCCTTCATCATTTCTCAGCTGTCATTCTTTCGGATGCTTGCTTCCCTGCTACTTCACCCACGTCACATCTGACTTCCTGGTTTGTGTTCGCGCAGGTCTTCTCTGGATGTGGTTGTGATGTGTTGGCTGTTTGATACCAAACGACATATAGACGTGCCATGCATTGGATAGTTTTTTATGATACATGTGCTTCAAAGCAGTTCTACACATGACCACTACTTAGGGGTCCAACAACCATTATACTAGTGATATTTGTACGGTAGAAGGGGAATAACTCATTTTTATATAATAACAAATCTGGGGGGAATGTTATGTTGCTTCCCGGTTTTGTCCGCTACACTGCGATCAATATACCAGGCCGTGGTAAAGCCACAACATCTGCTGCTGGGCACATGTACCCTGCATTGGGGGATATGGTGAGAGGGGGGGAAGAGAGGAAGCAGTGGGAAACAGAGTGAGCAGAAGTGAAGAGAGTGAGCAAGGGGGACGAGAGTGAGAAGAGAAGGGGGGAGGGAGCACTGGTGAAACAGAATGAGCAACCCTAAACAAAGTGGTGGGGGGGAAGAGAGCGAGCTGGTTGGAAGACAGTGAGCAGAATGAAAGAGGGTGAGTAGCGGGGAATATAGTGAGCAAGGTGGAAAAAGAGGAGGGGGAAGGGTGTGAGAAGGGCGAAACAGAGTGAGCAAGGGGAAACATAGGGAGCAAGGGAATGGGATGGGAGAAGGGGAAGGGGGGAAGCAGGGAAGGGGATGGGGGGGGAAGGGGATGGGGAGAAGCACGGAAGGGGATGGGGGGAAGCAGGGAAGGGGATGGGGGGAAATAGGGAAGGGGATGGGGGAAAGCACGGAAGGGGATGGGGGGAAACAGGGATGGGGATGGGGGGAAGCAGGGATGGGGATGGGGGGAAGCAGGGAAGGGGATGGGGGGGGAAGGGGAAGGGGGGAAGCACGGAAGGGGATGGGGGGAAGCACGGAAGGGGATGGGGGGAAGCACGGAAGGGGATGGGGGGAAGCAGGGAAGGGGATGGGGGGAAACAGAGAAGGGGATGGGGGGAAGCAGGAAATTGGATGGGGGGAAGCACGGAAGGGGATGGGGGGAAACAGGGATGGGGATGGGGGGAAGCAGGGAAGGGGATGGGGGGAAGCAGGGAAGGGGATGGGGGGAAGCAGGGAAGGGGATGGGGGGAAACAGGGATGGGGATGGGGGGAAGCAGGGAAGGGGATGGGGGGAAGCAGGGAAGGGGATGGGGGGAAGCAGGGAAGGGGATGGGGGGAAGCAGGGAAGGGGATGGGGGGAAGCAGGGAAGGGGATGGGGGGAAACAGAGAAGGGGATGGGGGGAAGCAGGGAATTGGATGGGGGGAAGCACGGAAGGGGATGGGGGGAAACAGGGATGGGGATGGGGGGAAGCAGGGAAGGGGATGGGGGGAAGCAGGGAAGGGGATGGGGGGAAGCAGGGAAGGGGATGGGGGGAAACAGGGATGGGGATGGGGGGAAGCAGGGAAGGGGATGGGGGGAAGCAGGGAAGGGGATGGGGGGAAGCAGGGAAGGGGATGGGGGGAAGCAGGGAAGGGGATGGGGGGAAGCACTGGTGAAACAGAGGGAGCAAGGGTGAAACAGAGTGAGCAACCCTAAACAAAGTGATGGGGGGGGGAAGGGAGCGAGCTGGTGGGAAGATAGTGAGCAGGGGGAAAGAGAGTGAGTAGCGGGGAATATAGTGAGCAAGGTGGGGAGGGGGAAGAGTGTGAGAAGGGCGAAACAGAAGGAGAAAGGGGGGAGATGAGAGGGAGAAGGGGGGCAAATGGGCAGGTGAATGGGAGGGAAACGAGAGGGGGAAAGGGGGGACATGCGAGGGAGCAAGGGGGCGAATGAGAGGGAGAAGCGGGGAGAAAAAGGAGGAGAAGGGGGGGAAATGAGAGGGAGGAAGGGGGGAGGGGTAATGGGGAGACGGGGAGGGGAAACGGGGTGGCGGAAAGGGGAATTGGGGAGGCGGGAAGGGGAAACGGGGAGGCGGGAAGGGGTACCGGGGAGACGGGGAAGGGGAAACGGGGTGGCAGAAAGGGGAATTGGGGAGGCGGGAAGGGGAAACGGGGAGGCGGAAGGGGAAATGAGGAGGCGGGGAGGGGTAACGGGGATCGGGATGGGGAAACGGGGAGCGGGAAGGGGAAACGGGGAGGAGGGAAGGGGAAATGGGGAGCAGGAAGCAAAATCGGGGAGGCGGGAAGGGGTAATGAGAAGACGGGAAGGGGAAACGGGGTGGCGGGAAGGGGAAACGGGGAGGCGGGAAGGGGAAATGAGGAAGCGGGAAGGGGTAACGGGGAGGTGGGAAGCGGAAACGGGGAGCGGGGAGGGGAAACGGGGAGCGAGAAGGGTCGACGGGGAGGCGGGAAGGGGAAACGAGGAGCGGGACGGGGAACCGGGAAGGCGGGAAGGGGAAACGGGAACGGGACGGGGAAACGGGGAGGCGGGAAGGGGAAATCGGGAGCGGGAAGGGGAAACGGGGAGGCGGGAACGGGAATTGAGGAGGCGGGAAGGGGTAACGGGGAGCGCGATGGGGAAACGGGGAGGCGGGAAGGGGAATTGAGGAGGCGGGGAGGGGTAACGGGGAGCGGGATGGGGAAACGGGGTGGTGGGAAGGGGAAACGGGGAGCGGGAAGGGGAAACGGAGAGGCGGGAAGGGGAAACGGAGAGCGGGAAGGGGAAACGGGGAGGCGGGAAGGGGAATCGAGGAGGCGGGGAGGGGTAACGGGGAGCGGGATGGGGAAACGGGGTGGTGGGAAGGGGAAACGGGGAGCGGGAAGGGGAAACGGAGAGGCGGGAAGGGGAAACGGAGAGCGGGAAGGGGAAACGGAGAGCGGGAAGGGGAATTGGGGAAGCGGGAAGGGGAAACGGGGTGACCGGAAGGGGTCCTGGGGATTGGAAAGGAGAAACGGGGAGGCGGGAATGCGAATTGAGCTGGCGAGAAGGAAGACGAGGCGGTTGCACGGGGTTGGAAGCTCCCGTTTCTGCTGTCGTTCGCGCACTCAAGTGCGGCTGCTGGGGCTAGTGCGGAAACGTGGTAGCGAGGCAGTCGCGATAGGGCCGCGACTGTGATAGTGCGTGTTCGGCTGTTTGAGACGACACGACGGACGACGAGGAGAGGCCGTGAGAGGAGGTACCGCGGGATCGCCGCGTGAAAGGGAACCACTGACGTTGGTTGAAGTCTATAATTACAAGAAAATGCCCCACGCATTTAGGTTTGTGACGAAAATTTGCAGAATTTGCGCTGGCTGTTGAGTCGATGTGCTTAGCTACGTAGCATGCCGGCTGAAGAGCGTGGTGGCGTAGATCTCACAAAGGCTCGATTTCGTATACTTTTGTCGATCCAAAAGTTTTGAATCACCAGCAAGTGCTGGGTGTCGGGGAGATCTCCCTCCCTTGTTCAGCGAGTGAACTTGCAGGTAATCGAGTTACCAATATTTCAAATTTCAAAAGTTTTGAACCTCCCTCTTTCAAATGTATACAAAAGCTTTAACGCGTTTGGTAACTCGCTTAACACATTTGGTAACTCTACACTAGCAGCCCATCACGCGAATGGTAACTACATGAAATTCCCGCCGAAATTGAGCCTGATTCTGGTTTTTCCCGCTCGCGTCAGAAAACATTGACGAATCCTGAAGCAGAAACCTCTGACACACTCTCCGAAATTCTGACACTGTTTTCCGAAATTCTGACACACTCACACTTTCCGATTTTCAAGATTATTGCAAAAACGTAAGTGTTGTGAAAACATCTATTCATACATAATTGAACTTCTGGCGCTCCTTCCGCAAACTGTTTGTACTTTTTTCTAGCGTGCAGTCTGGGCAAACAAATCTATACTCCTTTCAAATGGCAGATAAATTTGAGAGCAACAACCTTAAACTTCTTGCGACCAGGCGTTTATGGTTCTTTATTTAAAGTACGAAACATGTAATTTTCAAGAGGAGTATTTTTCCCATGCGCAAAAATTCTCCAACGTTGCATTAATTATAAACAGTAATATTCCCGAGGTCCTTTCGGTTTTTTTATCGCTTTGCAAGTTCGCAATCATGCTATAAAAAAAATGGAATTTAACCATTTTTGTATGAGCTACATATACTTGTATATTTCTCAAATGGCCCTGAAACTTTGTGGTCCGTGTCAGAATGAACGGACAGGAATGATTGAACTAACAGTGAAATCAGTACAAGTACCTAACCCTAGAATTGTGTACCCCCTATAGGCTAACCCACTGTAGCCTAAACAAACACAACATATATAATGTTTGACACACCCCCATAGGCAAAGTGGGGGAGAGCAAGGGGTCACAAGACCAGTCAAAGCAAAGCAAAACAAGCTCAGGGTGGATCTCAAGGATACCACACAAATTCCGAGCACAAGCAAGTGGTCACAAGACTAGTTCACATGCAGGATGATAATATAACAAGAGATACAGTGATCACAACCTAGCAAGTGTAAACATGCAGGCATATATATAAAGATCACAGTACAAGCAGAGTCAAGAAGTAAGTAAGTGAGGTCCAGCAGGCACAAGGCCTAGAAGAGTACAGAAACGCTGATGGTCACAAGGCTGAAGTGCCTTGGTGAACACATCAGCAAGGTTGGCCTCAGTGGCCACGTAACGCAGACGAAGCTGACCACGCTGCTGCAGCTCTCGAGCAAGGAAGTACCGCAGGGCGATGTGCTTCGTTCTGTGCTCCAGTCTGTGCTCCTCACACAAGGCAATGGCAGCCTGGTTGTCGACGTACAGCACTGGAGGAGAACGAGGCCGCTCTCCCAAGTCGGTCAGCAGGTAGGTCAGCCAGCGTAGCTCCTGGGCAGCCATGGCTGTGGCGTAGATCTCAGCCTCACAACTGGAGCTGAGAACAGAAGAAGAGCGTGTAGAACGCCAAGAAACTGAGCCGGAGCCAAGGCTGAAGGTGTAACCCTGAGACGACCGCTGAGTAGCCTGGTCGTCTGCCCAAGAAGCGTCTGAGTGTCCAGTAAGTACAACTCGGTCTCGCCCTCCAAGCACTAGCCCCATGCCCGACGTACTGCACAAGTAGCGCAACACCCTCTTAGCGGCATCCATGTGCTCCTTCCTGTGACGGCCAGGAGCGACATAGCGCGCAAGGATGCTAAGAGGGTATGCAAGGTCAGGTCGAGTGCAGGTCATCAGGTACATGAGGCAGCCCACAAGCTCTGGATATGGGCCACTCGGCTCTACGGACTCATCCGAAGGCAGAGCTGAGAGCGAGTGACCGGTAGGCAGAGGAGTGGACTGAGGCGAGGAGTACGTGAAGCGGAAGCGCTGAAGGATCTGCTGCACCATGTGTGACTGAGTCAAGGTGATGGTGCGCCGTGCTCTGTCCCGGGTGATCCGCAAGCCAAGATAGCTTGTCAGTTCACCCAGGTCTGTGCACGTGTGTCTCCTCTGCAGCTCCGACTTCACGTGGGCGAGTGCCGCGGTGTCAGCAGTGGCAAAGACCAAGTCGTCGACGTACACGAGGATGTAGAACGGCGGCAGTGAGGTGTCTGTGCGTAGAAACAGTGACGGGTCAGCAGTAGAGGGAGCGAACCCAAGAGCCGCAAGTGTCGTCCTCAGTGTGTCGTGCCACTCACGCGGTGCCTGGCGGAGACCGTAGAGTGGCCTCTGAAGCCTCCACTGGGTACCAGGAGGAACCGACCCAGTGAAGCCAGGAGGGCGGCGCAGCCAGATCTCCTCGTGCAGGCTGCCCTGCAAGAAAGCAGTGCTGAAGTCAAGTGAGTGAAGCTCGTAGTCGCGCTGAGCGGCTATGTGCAGCAGCACCCGAAGAGTGGTCATCTTCGGGGTGGGGGAGAAGGTCTGAAAGAAGTCAACTCCCTCTCGCTGACTGAAGCCTCGAGCCACGTAGCGCGCCTTGAAGACAGGAGGAGAACCCGGCGGCCGCTTCACCCTGAAAATCCACATGCCACTGACGATGTTCGCCCCAGGTGGGGGAACCTCGTCGACGTAGGTGCCTGTGGACTTCCAGGAAGCCATCTCTGCGTCCATGGCTGTCTGCCACTGAGAGGAGTAGGGACCCGCCATCGCCTCAGCGTAAGTGCGCGGGGTCGGGATGTCTGGTGCATCCGGGTCTCCCTCAGGGGCAACTAGCATGGACACGAGGTGGGGTAAAGCAGCAGCAAAGCACTGGAACTCCTCCTGTCTGTCCTCAAGGACGTCCGTGCCGAGAGCACACTCACCCCCGACGGACGGAGGACAAACAGACTCAGACTCAGACTCAGCAACAAGGCTAGTGGCGTAGTCTAGACGACACCGGGCAGCAAAGTCGATCAACTCAGCGACCAGAGCAGACGCAGCAGAGGACTCAAAGGTAGGGTCAGTGACAACAGTAGCGAGGAGACGGGTGACAGTGGGACTGGCAGCACGACGGGAGTCAGACTCCGGATCAGGAAGAGTAGGCAGAGAGGACGCAGGAGGAGACGGCAGCGGGACACGCTGAGGAGCAGTGGAGGGACGCAGAGTCATGTAGTGAGTGCCAGGGACAGGAGGAGGACGCTCACGTGGGACACGACGACCAGTGCGAGCAGTACGAACAGGCGACGCAGGACGAGACTCAGGCTCACGACGCTCTGTAAGACCTCCTGTGGGACCAGTATAAGGAGAGGGAGCAGGGAGAGGCGAGGCAGGCGGGAACTGGGACTGCGACTGGACAGGCGGAGGACACGCTACGGAGGGAGGAGGACAAGGAGGAGGAGCCTGACCAAGAACCTGCTGAAGAAGTGGTACGAAGTACGGTCGCGGCCGCGCAGCGTCTCCAGAACCAGCAGCGACACCAGCGGCAGGGTCCTCAGCACCAGCAGCAGCTCCACCGTCCAGGTCCTCAGCACCAGCAGCAGCTCGACCGCTCGGGTCCTCAGCACCAGCAGCAGCTCCACCGTCCGGGTCCTCAGCTCCAGCAGTAGCTCCAACGCCCGGGTCCTCAGCACCAGCAGCAGCTCGACCGCTCGGGTCCTCAGCACCAGCAGCAGCTCCACCGTCCGGGTCCTCAGCTCCAGCAGTAGCTCCAACGCCCGGGTCCTCAGCACCAGCAGCAGCGCCACCGCTGGGGTCCGCAGCACCAGGAGCACCACTCCGAAGACTGCAGTGCCGCGCGTACCACTCTCGGATCTGCTGAATGGGGGGGAGCTCCTGGGTAGGAGGGGAAGTACTGGTACGAGCTCCAGTAGCACCTCTCCGGAGGCGGCAGTACTGTAGGTACCTCTCCTGCAGCTGCTGGGAGGAGAGGGCTCCTCCAGGTGTAGCACGCTCAGGATCAGCACCTCCAGACACAGCACCCCCAGACGTAGCACCCCCAGGCTCAGCACCTCGAGACTCCGCACCCCCAGGCTCCGCACCCCCAGACTCAGCACGGTCAGGCTCAGCACCCCCAGGCTCAGCACCTCCAGACGCAGCACCCCCAGACGCAGCACCTCCAGACTCCGCACTCCCAGGCTCAGCACCTCCAGGCTCCGCACCCCCAGGCTCCGCACCCCCAGACTCCTCACGGGCAGGCTCAGTACCCCCAGCAGGACGAGAGTCAACAGCTACCTCGACAGGCTCAACCGGGTCTACCTGGGACACACCTGAGGGAGCGGCACCCTGAGGGGGGAGGGGGTCTGGTACCTCAGCACCTGGAGCGAGGAAGAGAGGCGGGGGGGGGAGCGGGGCAGTGCGGTAGGGGAAGAGGCGGTAGTAGGGGACGGACTCGTCAAAAGTGACGTCCTGAGAGGCAAGGACACGACGCGAGGTGGCGTGGTAGAACTGCCAACCAGGCGCGTCCGGGACAAAGCCAAGGAAGACACAGGGGACAGCGCGACGGGAGAGCTTGTCCGCGGACGTGTCGCGAACAAAAGCTCGAGATCCCCAGACCCGAAAACGCGACGCATCGCCAGCCTCTCCCGTCCAACGCAGTGTCGGAGAAGTCTCCGGTAAGGAGACACGGGGCCAGAGGTTGAGCTGATGCGCAGCGTATCGGACTGCAAACGGCCACAGAAAGTGGGGGGCAGCTGCATGAACCAAGGAGGTACGAGCGACCTCCATGACCAAGCCAATGCGGCGCTCAGCAACCCCATTCTGCTGTGGAGAGGCCGGAAGTGTGAACGACTGCTCAATGCCCTCCTGCTGACAGAAGGCCTCCAAGAGGCCAGAGGAAAACTCCCCACCTCTGTCAGAGTGCAGACGCAGGACAGGGAAGTCGGAGCGGAAAC